TCTATATATATATATATATATATATATATATATATATAATTAGTCTATACTTTATGACTTGGACATTATTAAGTGCATATTTCCATGCAAGCTCATTTATGACTTACTTTCCCCTCATTTATGAAGTAACGTTTTTCCAAGGTAAAACCAAATGGACAGAGAGGCCTCATAACACACTGAAATACACAAATACACTATGAATGATGCGAGTGTTTCTGTTATCTAGAATGTAATAACCGCAATCCAAAGCCATTCTCTGTGTTGACTGTAAAACATAAAGATTAATATGAGCGTTCAAGAAGAAGAAAAAAAACAGAGCTCAGGGAATCTTACTCTAAAAGACTTTCCCACATTTACACTTGGATCCTCTGATGCTATTCTATGGACACGGTTTTACTTCAATAATGAAGTCTACATGAAAGAAACAGAGCACATTTCTCAGATGGAAATAACTTTGCATTATATATAACATGCCAATTATGGATAAAAACGTTGGACATCGCATTGCGAGCACTTGCCAATGCCAAGAATATGACATTTCTCTTTTCACACCGTCTTAGAGTTAAGACCAGATGGCACATTAAAAACATCTTAAAAATTTCATGTAACCATGCTATGATGATCATGTTACCATAGCAACAGAAATCTATTAAAAGTCATATTGTTCCCTTTTTGTCTGTATGAGAATTAACATTTGTGTCTCTAATGACGAGGAAAACAAAGGTTTGATTTCATGGTGAACTGATAGTGAGCGCTTCAAACAAGCAAATGACGTGCCCAATGGGAAACAGCTGCTCTTAATTCATCCAAGAAAACCAAAGGCAGGCTTTTAAAGTAAGTACTGGCTCTCCCGGCTTGACTTTGACTGCAGGGGGGGAATGTGATACACGTGTGTCTCATACTTTGCTTGTGTTGCATTATTTGTGATGCTTCTATAACATTAACAACTTAGTGTGACAAAAACAGACCAGAAACTGTTTCATTTAGCTTTTTATCAGCTGTAGAGATGTTCAGGCTGTATATGTACCACTGAAAAACAGCAGACTACCAAACCAGAGACACGTTAAACTGAAGATGGCAGAAACACCAAACCACAGCCTGAAACTGTCAAGACGTCTTGCGTTCTCTCGTCTCGACACTGAACAAATCCTCCGAGGTTATTTTATGTCAGTGTTTACCAGAGAAGGAACTGAAAAACAATGTCAAAAACAGATATGGAAGTCGTTTTAATATGTGCCTTGGTGTCCGCATCCAGTTTTAGTTTTTAAGCACTGGTTGCATGTTCATATTTCATTTCAGAAGAAAAATGAAAAAAAAAAAATGAATTGCTAATTATCCATATGATCAGTAGTTGGTGAGTTTTATTTTTTATGTTTTTGAAAGAAGTCTATTCTCACCAAGACTGCATTTCTTTGTTCAAAAATACAGTAAAAACAGAAAATGTTGTGAGATATTATTACAATTTCAAATAACTGTTGTCTACTTGGATATACTGTGAAATGTAATTTATTCCTGTGATGCAAAGCTGAATTTTCAGCATCATTACTCCAGTCCTCAGTGTCACATGATCCTTCAGAAATCATTCTAATATTCTGATTTGCTGCTCAAGAAACATTTATGATTATTATCAATGTATTTTCAGGATTCTTTGATGCATGGAAAGTTCAAAAGAACAGCAATTATTTAAAATATAAATCTTCTATAACATTATGTATGTCTTTCCTGTCACTTTTGTTCAATTTAACGCATTCTTTTTTAATAAAAGTATGAATTTCTTAAAAAAAAAAAAAAAAATCGTACCAACAGCAGGTAATGTTTCTAACTCATGGACAGGATATAGCCAACTTCATATTCAAATTGTTGCATAATTTTAAGTTGTAGATTGATCTAGACTGATCTAAACCACAGACCTAGGAACTCTATGACTGACTTGATTATTTGGATGAGTTCTGGATATTTTCCTACCACAGAAAAACATTTCTTATCTCTTAGTTTGTAAAATCAAACAGAAAAAGTGAGTTGTGTTGCTCCATAGACTTCCACTGTCTGCCTGGTTTTACAACAGCTGCAATCTAAAGTTGAATGTATCCCATTTGGAACACTTAAGCATGTTTGTTTTTAGTGCAAAATAAATATGATGTCTCAAACCTGCTTGGTTATTTATTAACTAGCAGTGTATTCCAGTAGACATTTATGCCAAGTTTTACTAAATCCAAACAAGCAACGTTCAAAAACAAGACTCAAACCTTTCAGTGCACAAAACCCTGATCCACACAAAACTGGTCTGCGCTGCTTACCATGACGGAGGAGTTGCGTCGCGAGCCGACAGGTGTGCTGGGGAGGGAGTTGAGAGACGAGCTGGCGTTGAGTTCCTCTGAACCATCACTCAAACCACTACTGATGGAGCTGCTCTCGTCCCAGCTGCACACATACACACACACACACACACAGAGGAGATACAGACGCTTAGAAGAAACAAGGAAAGCTTGAATCACGCAAGACAGCACAGTACCACACCCAGGACATACTGTATTGCTCAGAGTCAAGAGAATTACTATTATGATTCATTTAAGAATCAAGTTTGTTTCTGGTTTCTCTTCTAACATTTCTTTTGGGGAGATAAAAATGAGACACAAATGAATCAATATTCGATGTACATGCACTCTTAAAAATAAAGGTGCTTAAAAGGTTCTTCACAGCGATGCCATAGAAGAAGCATTTTTGGTTCCACAAAGAAGCATTCAGTCAAAGTTATTTAAAGAACCATCTCTTTCTTATATTTTTATAATCTGAAGAACCTACTTTCACCACAAAGAAGCTTTTGTGAAACAGAAAGGTTCTTCAGATGTTAAAGGTTCTTTATGGAACCATTTAGACAAAAAGGTTCTTCTATGGCATCCCTGTGAAGCACCTTTATATTTAAGAGTGTTCAGAAAGAGTAGATCTGGACTGAAGAAATTAGTGAGTTTACTCTCACTTTGGATTTCTATGGAAAGTAATTTCTGTCAGCAAATAAAAATATTAAAACATAATTGCGATTTTTTTTATCTCACAATTCTGAGCTTTTTCCTCAGAATTGCGAGTTTTTATCTCATAATTGCAAATTATAAAACTAGTAATTCTTAGTTTGCATCTCGCAATTCTGACATTTTTTCCTCCACAGAATAAAACAAAATAAAAAAATGTATTTGTGATTTTTTTTTTACCTCACAGTTCTGACTTTTTTCTCATTAATTCATGTTTACAACTCGCTTTTTTGACTTTTGAGTTTTTGTTTTTGCCGCTGAATTAAAAAAATCATAATTGTGACTTTTTATCTCACAATTCCTACTCTTCGTCTCTCTTTTTAGAATTGCGAGATTATATCTCACAATTACAAGTTCTAAACCTGTAATTACAAGTTTACATTTCGCAATTTTGACTTTTTTCTCAGAGCTCAGAGTTTAAAGGGTTAGTTCACCCAAAAATGAAAATTATGTAATTAATTACTCACCCTCGTGTTGTTCCAAACCTGTAAGACCTTCGTTCATCTTCGGAACACAATTTAAGATATCTTAGATGAAATCTGAGGGCTCTCTGATCCTCCCATAGACAGCAAGGTAACTACCACGTTCAAGGTCCAGAAAAGTACCAAGATGATCGACAAAGTAGTAGTGTGACACATTTTAGTAGTTCCACATTTTCGTCTCTACTGCGTCACTTTGGACGCACGTTCACGACAGTACCATGACGCGAGCGTGTGGCGGCGCCGGCGCTGACCCAGATCTGGCGTGATGATGTCGTCATGGTACTGTTGTGAACACGCGTCCACAAGTGACGCAGTAAAGTCGTTATTTTTGTTTTCTTTGCGCAAAAAAGTATTCTCGTAGCTTCGTAACTTTACAGTTGAACCACGTGAATATATATTTGACAAATCAGACTTGTGCATTTGCAAGTTCTAAACTCATAATCATAAGTTTACATCTCGCAATTTTGACTCTCGGAATTCCGAGTTTAAATCTCTTTAAATCATTTTTTTTTTTCCGCCACAGAAATTGTTCAAACATTGTAATTACAACTTTATATCTCACAATTCTGAGTTTATATCTAACAATTTTTAGTTTATGTCTCACAATTCTGACTTGTTCTTAGAACTAAGGGAAAACAAAGTTGGTATTGTGAGATATAAAGGCACAAATATTTGTTTAATTTTTGTATTCCGTACTGAAATTAAGCTTCCATAGCTTTCAGAACAAACCTCTCCTGAAACTGAAATCTTTTCCTCAGAAGAAAGATCAGAGTAACATTATTTGATCTCAATTTCATCTCAGTATTGTCTAGGAGAAACCATTCAGATAGTATAGAGACAAATCATTTGTCACTTGTCTTTCCTATGGGAACTTTCATGCTCCATTACCTGACCCAGGAACAGACAGCAGGGTCTCATAAAGGCACAGATGTCTTCACCATACGACCACACAAGCTCAATTCTGGCTCTGGAGCAGGCTTGCGTTTACTTCCCAAAAACATTGGAAGGGATGTAGATGCATGTATTATTGAAGAATGATGGGTAGTGATTGGAGAGGTTTAAAATAACTGTATTGTTCTTAAGGTCAGTGAGTTTACGAATGGCAAAGCAGCAGTGCCGTAACTATGAATGTTTTTTTTTTTTGGCAAACGCTACGGCTTTGGGGTTTGTCCATCTGTTCTGAAAGAGGAAAAGCCACACTAGGATCATAATGATTCATCTTCAATCTTGCATGACAAAGATGTGATTTAGGCCTGAAACATACATATGTATGTGAAGACAAATGCCATGCGAGATCTGCACATTTGAAAACTTTCCTCTCCAAACTCTCCTCTTTAGATGTCATTGTGTTCTCTATTCTAAAATAAATACAACAAGTTGTGATTCATTAAGTAGCTCTACAATATCTACACTATCCGCTATTGTAAATAGATGTGGGAAACTCTCAAAATAAAATCTTTAAAGGAAAATAAGTTTGGGAATGATTACATTCTTGATTATATTCTTGGGAATGATTAAATAAACAAATGTTTCACTTTATCCAAATAAAAAAATGAGAAAAAAAGAGTGGGAATAATTATATTCCTGAAAAGCAAAAACACTGAAATAAATGGATGTTTAACATCCGAAAAAAAATAAGTAAGTAAATAAAAAAATAATAATAAAAAAATAATCACATTCCTAATAAAAAGTAAAAAGATGTATAATTGTCTCAAAATTATAATAAAAAGACTGGCATTTCTGCCATATTCATAATAAAAAAATGACAAAAAGACAAAGTACATAAGTGTGGAACTCCATAAAAATAAAAGTAAAAAAAAAAAAAAAAATCAAAGATTATGAATATTAAATTGATTTAAAATTAATTAAAAATAAAAAGTGAACAAATAAATAAATTCTCAATAACTAAAAACAAAACAGTAAAGTAAATGAGTGTTTAACTTTCACAAAATAATAAAATTAAAAAGAAAAAAAATCTAAAAAAAGAATGTGATAATTACATTCTTAATAAAAAAGTTGAAGAAAACAGATGTATAATTCGCTCAAAAAAATAACAGGAAGAAAAGACCGGGAATGATTTTATTCTTAATAAAAAAAAAAAGATAAAAAGATTCAGTAAACAGATACTCAAAATAAAACTTATTTTATTTTTAAAAAGATTATGAATGAATACATCTGTAAATAAAAGTACAAAGATGAAGAAGTGTAAAGAAAAATAAATAAATACGATTTTTAACTCTTAAAATGGTAACTTAATTCTTTAAAAACAGCTTTTTTTATTGTTCAGTAATTTTATAATTCTTGCATCAAAGGGTTGAGATATTTTTACATGAAAACAAGAAAAAATACTGATGGATGCAGTGAAAGATGGTTTTGGACCATCTATCTGAACCGAAGGTGCTTTAAAGAGCCACTGAAGAACCTTCAAGCAAATGACACACGTGAATGAACCTGAGTCATGATCACTAGATCTCTGTCTGTCTGTCTGTATCTGCATCACGCTGGGTCTGAAGTACTTTGTGGTTTCCGACTCAGCAGAGTCTACGGAGATGGAAAAAGGAATTATGGGTGCCAAAGAATCAGAGGACAAAAATGGCTTGTTGATGTTCGGAAGAACAACTTAAGGAGCCAGCAATTTGTGCTAATTACAGGTTGTGCGGCACAGAGGGGAGAGAACAGACTTGCCTACATGTCTCCACGGTTAGAGACGACTCCCGCAAAGACATTTCTTAATGCTTTTCTTTTCCACATCAGTTTCTATTTCCAACCAAGTGCAAAAATCATGTCATTAAGTCATAAAACTTAAAAATCTTTTTATTAAGTGAAAAAAAAGCTCTAAATTGCTTTACACTTATTTAAATTGCTTTAAAATACAATATAGATATTAGATCACTTTAAGAAAAATGTAAAAACATGTATTTAATGCAACAAAAAAATAAATAAATTTGAAGTGTTGCCGTAGCAACTAATTGAAGTAAAGTTGATGCACTAAAATCACAAACCTAAAATTGAAAAAAACAAACAAAAAAAAAAAACAATATATAGCAATTTGTGCTAATTACAGGTTGTGTGGCACAGAGGGGAGAGAATGGACTTGCCTACATGTCTCAACGGTTAGAGACGACTCCCGCAAAGACATTTCTTAATGCTTTTCTTTTCCACATCAGTTTCTATTTCCACCCGTTTTAAATGTAATGGTGGCACACTGGAGCCAAAAGTCGGCCAAAGTCTGTGTCAGCTAGTTTTAGCTTCATTTGAAGGGGAACTGTGATTACCACGCTGAGATATTACTAGGGCTGCACGATTAATCGCATGCGATATTTAACGCGCATCTTGTCAGAAAGCCGGTTCTGTAA